ACGTCGTGCTTCTATCGTCCGACATCATTGCCAACGCGACGGTAGCGCGACAAGTTCGCTTGTTTGCGCTTTGTAGATAAATATTTCAGGTCTATTAATAAATAAATGAGTTGAATGCGTCTGAACTTCGACGATCATCCCAGGAATAGGTGCGTGCAAAGAGCACAAGTTATGGTGTGAGAACAAGAAGGAGCAAAAACATAGAGGGGTGGAAAGCGAGAAAGAAAGTAAGAGCGAGACCGAGTAAGAAAGATGGATAGGCAAAAGCAGCGACAATAGGATGGAAAGGAGTGAGAGCGAGGGTAAGGAGAGAGATATGTGATAAAGAGGGGGAGAGAGATATGTGATAGAGAGGGAGAGAGAGATATGTGATCGAGAAGGGAGAGAGAGATATGTGATAGAGAGGGGAGAGAGATATATGTGATAGAGAGGGGGAGAAAGATATGTGATAGAGAGGGGGAGAGAGATATGTGATAGAGAGGGGGAGAGAGGTATGTGATAGAGAGGGGAGAGAGATATGTGATAGAGAGGGGGGAGAGAGATATGTGATAGAGAAAGGGGAGAGAGATATGTGATAGAGAGAAGGAAAGGGAGAGATATGTGATAGAGAGGGGGGAGAGAGATATGTGATAGAGAGGGGGGAGAGATATATGTGATAGAGAGTGGGAGAAAGATATGTGATAGAGAAGGGGCGAGGAGATTGTGTGAGAGAAAGAAGAGTTATGTGATAGAGAACGGGGGAGAGAGAATTGGATAAGAGAAGGGGAGAAGCGATATTGTGGATAGAGAGTGGGGAAGATAATATTGATAGAGAGGGGGAGAAAGATATGTGATAGAGAGGGGGGAGCGAAATATGTGATAGAGAGGGGGGAAGAATCCCAACTGGATAGAGAGGGGGAAGAATATATGTGAAGAGAGGGAAGAAAGATATGTGATAGCGAGGGGGAGAGATATGTGATAGGGAGGAAAGAGAGAGATATGTGATAGAGAATAGGGAGAGAGATATGTGATAGAGAGGGGGGAGAGAGATATGTGATAGAGAAGGGGGAAAGAGATATGTGATAGAGAGGGGGAGAGAGATATGTGATAGAGAGGGGGAGAGAGATATGTGACAGAGAGGGGGAGAAAGATATGTGATAGAGAGGGGGAGAAAGATATGTGATAGAGAGGGGGAGAGATATATGTGATAAAGAGGGGGAGAGATATATGTGATAGAGAGGGGGGAGAGAGATATATGTGATAGAGAGGGGGAGAGAGATATGTGATAGAGAGGGGGAGAGAGATAAAACGCGCGAAAGAAAGAGAGAGGGGGAAGAGGGAGAGATAGACATGCAGACAGACACGGAGCGAGATAGAGAGAGAGATAGAGAGAGAGAGAGGACGAGAGAAAGAAAGAGAAACAGACTAATCCTAATAGACCGAAAGGCAGGTAGGGGCGGCCGACTGATGGACAGACAATTAGTTATATATGCGCAATTGTTAAAGAGTGAGTGCACAGGCACTTGGAGCGTTTCAATAAAAATATCATGCTAAATAAATACGAAATCTATTTACTACCAAAGTCTTAATGTTTCTCTACTCTCATTCACCTATTATTGCCGACAAGCCGTGCTGGCAGTACTGCAACGTGCGTGCGGTTGGCGTGTGTTGCACTGGCTGGAGCATTTGCAGCACGGCTTGTCGGCAATAATAGGTGAAGGAGAGTAGCGAAACATTAAGACTTTGGTAGTAAATAGATTTCGTATTTATTTAGCATGATATATTATTGAAACGCTCCAAGTGCCTGTGAGTGAGTGAGTTAGTGAACGTGCACTCGTCAGACACGCACTGAAACACGACCACACATAAGTCTTACAGGAATTCTGCAAACCGGAACACATGTGCAAAGATAAACCTAAAATAACTCCAAAGTAGATTGTGTTATTTGCCGCTCCGAAGCAGACAATCTATCATTTCTCCACGTTGTGTAAATGTTCTCATGAAATTGCACAGTATCAATATTGAATTTCATCAAGCCGATACATTTTAAATAGTGAAAGCGAGTGTGGCCGCTAGACAAAGAGATAGAAAAGATAGATGCATGGATAGATAGATAGATAGATAGATAGATAGATAGATAGATAGATAGATAGATAGCTAGATGAATGGATAGATAGATAA